CAAAAAAAACCCCCAAACAAAACAACAACAACAACAGAACAGAACAGAACAAAACAAAACAATAGCAGCAAAGCTTTCCTTTCCTAAAGATTAAGACAAACAGCTTGTCATAATTGCACTCCCTTTCCACTCCACACGACTTCCTCCGACAACCCCGGCCACACAGGGCAGTAGAAAACAACAACGCCAAAGCCCACGAGAAGTGTCTGGTGCTGGAACCGGTAGCGCTAACAGAACAATGGGTGCCAGCAGGTGGCAGGTAGGGTTCCACCGTGGGAGACTCGCAGGCCGATGACCGATAAAGCGGATTGAACCCCGCTCTCCGGACGTCCACACACAAGCCCTAGGGCTCTACAGACCTATAAACTGTAGCGGCCGACAGTAAACAATTGTACTTGCCTGCTTCGGGCAACTGTACATCTAACGGAGAGACTAGTAAGGATAAAAACTGAACAGCCCTGCGGTCCATATTAAGGTACAGAAAAACGGCTAACGAACAAAAACAACCCAAAAGAGGAGTACCTACTTGATTCGACTTGTAACTGCGCATCTAGAACGGTGATTCCTCTGAGCTATGTGTGCCTAGCAGGTAACAAGAAACATGGACACTTATCATTCCCCCTATAACACTATACCAGAGACCCCAAAAGCAAAACTAGTCTATTCGTTGACCTTAATATCTATGTGGAACAGACACTTTATTTTCGTTAACATAAAGATGACGAAGCCCTCTGTAAATTGTGGATTAAGACCTGAAAGTAAGAAAGCTTGACCTAAGCTTGATTGCATCGTTGTTGCAGAAGAAAAACGGGTGGACGAAAAATAATAAAATAGAGAACCTAGATTATAAAAGCTGGTATGGTATGGGTTCAATGTCCCTTCAGTGTATGTAAGGAAGAGCCAAACAGGGAACTGGAATGTTTGTTTAATATCATAACAGTACATCTGGCATGGAAGCACTGCGAGATCGTGTAATGGGCTGAACAGGCGCACTATTGTCCGTAAATCAGGGTGCTGACATGTTTTTATAAAAGTGTATCGATGGTAGGAAACCTAATTATTGTATCTCGGAGCTCGTTTTACGTCAAAACGGGCGGAAAGAATAGAATAATGTTTGTTAACGTAGAAATGCACGACGAACAAAGTACTGCCACTGAAACACCGGGTGTAAGTAAACCAGTTAACTTTGTCTCCTGGTAAGTAGCACTTTTTGAGATACGACAGTTTGGTTTCCAACCATGGGCATACTCCAGCCAGAGAGGAACGTTCTTGGTAAGCGGGTCGCGCTGAGCTGCTCCCCTGGGACCCCACCTCTGACGTCACAGACTAATACGCTCAGGGGCTGTTGTGTTCTGAGTTAGTGAGACAGATTTTCTTTTCGTGGGGTCTTTTGCTGCACTGAGTCGTGCTGGCCAACTAATGCTTGCCAGTACAATAAGGTTTCCAGTCTTTTTTCCCTCACACCGTTTTAACCAAAAAACCTATTACATTATTGAAGCAGAAGACGTCATTTCAAAGACAGACAATTGGATATCATTGAGGGCATGAGGGCTAGAGGAGCAGACAACACACAAAAACAGTATTCAAAGACACGCCCAACCTTCATCATAAACTTTTTAGTCAAGAAAAAGAAGGAAGAATTAAAAGTAAAACAGCGGGGAAGGGGGAAACGGGTGGGGTCCAACTCATTGGGGCTTGTAACACTTTGTAACACACAGCGTTACGAATGATACATTCTTTAACTATTTTTTCCCGACGCATTTTTCGTGGTTTGTTTTAGGTTGGGTTTTGTTGTGGGTGGGGGTGGGTAAAAAATTCAAGATCACACAATGTGCCAATAGTTATTTCACAGGCGGGTCTCCATACGGACGAGCAGTGGGGCATCTTCTTTTCGCTACGTCTGACACCCTGTCTGTTAGTTAGTTTTAGTAGAGGATTTACGGCGCTCGCAACTGCATAAGGTCATATGAGCACCAGAAGATTAGAGGTGTTACAAGAGAGTAGCAAACATAAAAAAGAAAAAGAGGAGATAAGGACGATAGATGTAGGGAAAAAAGGAGCCCCACTGCTCGTCAGTATGGAGACCCGCCTGTGAAATAACTTATCGGCATATTGTGTGATCACAGGCAAACAAAACAAAGATATGTATACTAGAGATTAAAAAACACAATACATGTATAACAATATACGAAGAAAAGAAAATATACGAAGAAAAGACATGTTCTTTATGTCTGAAAGAGAGTAGCATAACAAAGGAACGCCGAAAACAGGGGTAGTTGGGCCCCCTTCTGGAGGACTAATCTACAATTCATCTCATCCAGTCCGCGTTGGGTTACCTAATAAAAAAAATTGAGTACAGTAAAGGAACACGAGCAGGGTATGTTTGACCTGGTAGAAAACTGGGTGTCTACTCAAAAACCTTTAAAAAAAATTCTACCCGTAAATGATAGCCTCCATCAACTCATTCCCAGTGCAACCCTAGCATGAATCTTAATAATCCATGAATAAATTACAGCTCGGACGTTGACTCCCTCCTAATAAAGTTGGGAAAACTCAGTGTGAGATCCACGGTTCTTAATCGTGCAATCATGTAAAAACATGGGTATACCCCGTCCAGGTGCCTGTACTGAACTCGGTGAGATCTTTCATCACTGGGGCAACAACCGGGTAGGGGAAGATACTTAGTTCACTACGAAACTACGAAGGTCAAACATTGCACCCACCATCACTACCCGTCATCT